CCCCTGATGTTGGGAAAGTGTGAAGGCAAGACGAGAAGGGGACGACAGAGGACGAGATGGCTGGACAGGGTTATCAAAGCTACCAACATGAATTTGACCCAACTCCGGGAGGCAGTGGAAGACAGGAGGGCCTGGCGTGCTCTGGTCCATGGGGTCACGAAGAGTCGGACACGACTTAACGACTAAACAACAAAACCACTGATAGGACTCGCCTTAAGAGTTTGCAGTTCATCCCAACTTGGAGTAGCCAATCTATACTCTTCTCTTTCTCCTGAACATCATTAAACAGGCTGCATGGAACAGACCAGAACTAACTAGACACACCACCCACTGCTCAAAAAGCATGTACAGTAAAATGGTGGTGCAGGAGGTCCTTTACCATCGGGGAGGATCTACTTCTCTGAAGCTACTACAAAATCATAAACAGAGCTGGCCTGTCAAGCTTAAATCCAAGTGAAGGGTCTAACGAGGACTAGGACCGCCACTGCTGTGTCCCCAGTACAAAGGACAAGCAACAAAATAAATAACTAATTTATTTGGCCCACACCAAAGGATAAACAAGCTATTCCACCAAATTCCCAAAATAAACTGCCAACTGTCGCAATTGCCAGGGGCTGGACCGTAATTGTTTCCTAACGCATTTCTACAACGCAGGGCATGCTCCGTGTATTTCACCAATATATAAACAAACACACAGAGCACAAAGCTCATTTCAAGGGTTACTCAGACAAACTGCTTTAGGGCTAAGTCCTAACTCTCTGCCTACAGGGATGTATATCTTGTGTCCTGTTTCCCCCCCTCTCAAAAACCAACTGACCACATAATTATCAGGATGTGGCCTGCTAATGCATAAAACTGGGCCATGGTTGACATGCTGGAGTGAAAACTTCCATTCTATAATACAGCAGAATATCCCACTGAAGGAGGTGAATAAGCCCCCAGGCCTTTGGTCACAAAGGACCACCACCTTCTTCCTCCATATGCTCAGAGGTGACCAGCAAGAGAATCATGAGCCATCCTATGTCAGGAATGTTTGGCGGCTTCCTACGGCTCACACGCCTTCCGTCTTTTCCTAGGGCACTTACCTGCTTCTCCTACATCCAGAGTCACGCTGGGTTTCTTTTTTTTGTCAACTAAACAAAGGCTGGTGCATTTGTCTGTATGTTTTGCCATTCCCTGGATCAATGTCTGTTCCAGCACGGCACACCTTTTCAGCACAGGGAGACACCTGCACCACTTCCTCAGCCAACAGGAAATGCCTGCAGAAACCCATGCTGAAAACGTAGCTGCCTGGATAGGTGTGATTGCTTGTGTTGCAATGGGTTGTGTGCTGTCTTGTCCGTGTTCATCCTGGATTCAAGACTTCCAACCGTAAAGGCCTTGAAAGTCCAAACCACGGCAGCTGTTTTTATGGGATGTGGTGTGTGGGTAATATATATATATGTATGCACGCGTGTGTATATATAAAAAAGAATAGCTCACTCAATTTTTTCCCGCCAGGAATGGGGGATTCTGAACGGCAAGGGACGCACCAAAATTACGTCGGCATCAATGAGTTAGCCACCTCTGTCCTCTCTTTTTCCACCTATTATATTTCTCATGCATCATCCAGCTTCCCAACCATCTTCCTGTGTTCTTCACAGTACGCACGCTAGGCTCTCTCCTTTCTTCAGGACGGAGTGGAACATGGAGTTGAGAAAAGGAGACGCATGGTCAGCTGGGGATGATGTTAACAAGCTCCTTGCTGCCCTGAGAAGCTGGATGGAAATGGTTGAAATTACTACAAGGGGGTCAGCATTAAGAGGTCGGGAAGGACATCGCTTTAAGTTACAGGCTCTTCACACCCTCCCCGCCCAAGGTTTCCAAAGCACTACGCAGGTGACCCTGGGGGTTGAAGAACCCTAAAAATTCATCAACATTGACTCTTCTGGTTGTTTGGTCAAGGAACAGACATTTATCCCCAAGACAGAGCATCCCAAATAATCTTCCCCCTTTGATGCAGTATGAAGAATGCAATGGGCTACAGATTCTTTCAGTCTTAAGAGCCCGTAGTGCTAAGTCTGAAAGAGAGCAAGACAGAAGCAGCTAACTCTTAATGCCATGATTCAGTGCGGAACACACTATATCCAGTGCACCACTGGTGTAGCTCCAAACACAAAAGTCACAAAGGATTCTTGTTGTTTTCAAAGATATAATAAAGGGACCCCGTTTCAGGGTCCATGGAGCTGAGCACCCAGATCAAAACCTTTTGTCAATTAGACCCATATATCCCAAATCAATACCTTAAAATCATGTATTGGTTTTCTGAGTATTATGCAGTGTGGTATGTAACAGTAAACAGAAAAGGGCCTTAAACTCCTAAAATGGTAAGTTATAATGGATGATGATTCCAAAGCTGGCCACATCTCTGAGCAACCTGAGCCAGAACTATCCCAGAGAGAGAGAGAGAGAGACAGAGACAGAGACAGAGAGAGACTGCACTTGGCAGAAGAATTCTTGTTTTACATGAAACCCCCCCATCAAGATTAAACTTCATGATTCCCTAAACTGAGACACAATGAAACTGTTTTTCAGATTTTCCTTTACAATTTATATGGCTTGGCACTCGGGCACAGCCTGACAAAGAAGGCATGGGGATTAAAAGCATGCATGAATTAAACTAAAGGACAAAACCCTGAATCTTGACATACTCAAATCCCACACTCAAATCTTGACATACTCAAATCCTGCTAGTGTATTTTTTTCCACCTGAAGACCGATGGGAAGAGCACCAGATGCATGGGTGTTTCTCACAGGGCAGAAGGCCACGTGCACTGGGTTGAGCTCTACTGGGCGGCTGGAGGATGGAGCTTATCAATATTCTAAGTCAATCCAGGAAAAGGCAGGAGGTTTGGGAAGCGTCTGCCCTCAGGGGCAGGGGAAAGGTAGGGCCAAACAGCACACAAGCCCGAGAGCAGAAAAAACTTTCTTGCAAGCAAAACTTAAGTTCCCAGGTCAAAGTGCAATAAAAAACGCACACAGGAAAGGCAGGAACATGGTTTTACTACTATAACCACATTTTGCAGCGTAACACCTTCTTTTCTGTTAGCAGTCCTTCATCATCCTGACAGAACCAATGTTTTGACCCATGTTCATTTGACATAGGCAGCTCAAAAGGTTCTTAAGGTGCAAGCGGCTGGGAGAACCCCTCAAAGAAGCTATTGCAGGCATTTCCTCCATTTTTCCTCACTTTACAAATGACCATCTGGACAAACCTTCCGTCACAGAAAAAAAGGGGTTACACCTGATTTCAGAAGCAGGTCATTCCCGAACTACGTTGTCATCGCTGCTTGGTATGTTTCTTGCAACTCAGATGGAGACCCTCTGGGCAGTCTGCTAGAGATGGCCCATCAGGGGCGGTGCAGCCCACCCCTCCAAAAAAACTCTCCCCTTCTCCCTCATGTCTCCCAGGCATAAAAATCTCTGAGCCGCAGCTCACATAGACTTTCGTACCAATGGAGATTTTCTGGCAGCTGGAAAGAGCATTCTAGTGGTGGTGGGATCACTACCAGGAGAGGAATGGCGGTGGTTGATGACCTCTGAACCTTCTAAAGAGGGATTTTAGGGAATCAGACACTTCAGAAGCCTAATTTAAAAGCAAGAGGGGTTCATTTCAGAATGTGGTAAGGGACATATGGACCTATGCATATGGACCTATGTAGGAAGGTAGTATAGTTCCCCTCTATAAGGCACGGGTCAGGCCTCCTCTTGAGTCCTGTGTCTAGTTCTGGACACCGCACTTCAAGAAGGATGCTGGCAAACTGGAACAAGTTCAGAGGAGGGCAACAAGGAGGAGGATCATGGGGGCTGGAAACCAAGCCCTAGGAGTAGAGACTGAAAGAACTGGGCCTGTTGAGCCTTGAGAAAAGAAGACGGAAGGGAGACAGGATAGCCCTTTTCAAAGGCTGTCCTTCAGAGGGAGGGGCAGGATCTGTCCTCGGTCATCCCAGAATTGCAGGACAGGCAATAATGCGCTCAAGGAAGCCAGATTTCAGTTGAGTACCAGGAAAAAAAACTTCCTAACTATTAGAGCAGCACGGCAAGGAGTCCCATGACTGTGAGAGGGAGTGAGTGCTCCAACACTGGAGGGAGGCATTCAAAAGAAATTCAGACTTCCCACTGACAGATAGATTTGATCGCCTTATAGGCCCCTTCCAAATTCACGATTCTAGGATTCTATAAATTGCAACTCTGTTCCTCGATAAGGTAAGTGAGGCACCAAAGTGGGAGGGATGACTTAGGGCCAATATTCTGTTCTATGACAAGCCTGAACAATGGTCCATTACCACTGTATCCTGTCCCTCCAGCTGGGTACAAACCCTCCCAAAACCTACTAAGCTAGCAATACAAAAGACAGCCATACATCGCACACCACTGGAGCAGAATGACAATTTCCATATGAGCCATCCTTGCAAGAGCCAAACAAGCTGTGTCCTCAAATGCCCTCCTGACACAGGTGGGTTGCTTTTCGTGGCTAGTGATATTTTGGTTTTAAAACAAACTGACTCCCTTCTTCCTGTATTTCATGACTTGTGACCTCACAGTTTGAGTAGCAAGAAACTTGTTGATCCCTTCATTCGGGATACTGGCTGGCTAACTGTTTTAGGAACTTCAAAGGCCATCAAGCCCACCAATACCGTATCCATTTTTTAAAAAACTCTGAGCACTCTTCCTCCAATTAACATTTAAACCAACTGCTTGCCAGAAAAGTGCTTTAAAAGGTGGAGGAACAAGGTGTCAAGGTAGAAGGGAAAAGGGCATGGATGTACCTCTAGGCTTCCCTCTCCAAACATTCTGATTTAAGAGATAGATATATTAGCATGTCCCACTCGGAAGAGGAAACTTGCAGCCGGAATCTATGCCTTTGGGATACTTGTACGGTTTGCACCAAGAGAGACAAAACAGGACAGCACAAACACGTCTGCGTTACTCAAGTCACTGCTGCAGAGAAACCAACTTACTTTTAGGTCTTTCCAGCAGTCCAGCAGCTTGGTGGCCCAGTCGCTCACGTCCACAATCTTATCGGTAGGTTCCTGGCTCCTCTCGCTCTCCACGTCGGAGATGCCTTCCTCTTCGTCTTGAGAGGGCGTTTCGGCGGCCGCCACCAATTCCTCCAGCTTGGCGGCGCGTCCCTCTTTCATCTCTGCCTCGGGCTCAACCTCGGGCTCAGCCGCCTGAGACCCGCCGGCGTCCGCAGAGACCTCGGCAAGAGCATCCTTGGCAGGATCTTGTGGCGGCGCGGGGGTTTCCTCCGTTGCCGCCATCGCCGCCTCTGTTGGGCCGCTGTCCGGATGCTCAAGGTCCTCTCTGGTCTCCTTCAGCTCAATCTCGCTGATGGTGTCCGAGAGGGCACTGTCCATGCTGTTCTCGCTGATGATTTTAAGCCTCCGGAAGGCAAGCTTCTTTGGGGTCTCCGTCTCACCCTCTACGCTTGGCTTGATCGATGGGTCGGGCGTGTTGAGCGGCGTGTGAGCCCGGGACGGGTTCTCGCTGGAATAGCCGTCGCCTTCGCTGAGAGGTGGGATAGCAGACTTGGTCTGGGCCCATCGCTGAATGATGGGAAGCACTTTACTCTCCTCCAGCATGTTCTTGTTGGGAATCGGCAAAAGCTCCAGAGTCTTTATAATCTGGCCGCAAAACGAGAAACAACGGGAAACATTTAACATTTCCATAGTCATTGGTTTGTTCTCCCAATGGCATCAAGCCTCATAACTTTGGCGCTTAACCTACGTTCTGCTGACGTTTGAAGGTTCATAAGCACTCCTGTCAAACCAAGGACACCTCCCCTTCTGTCTTTCCACCACCTTTCTCTCATTAATCATGGTTACCTATGATGCCAGAGTCAGCAAACAATGGTTTGCATGTACTCAGAAACGTAGGCAGAGCCCACGGGGAATCAGACCTAAAGTCCCACCTCATTTAGCTCCCTCCTTCCACAACGGCCTGCCGGAAGATTCCTCAGAGGCCCACGAGAGGGGCCAAAAACAACAAAGATCTCTCCAGCTTGTGTTCCCAGGAACAAGGATTAAAACCAAGGTTCCAGCTGTGCCTGTTTCTTGAGAGATCTGATTTTGGCCACGGTGACACACGCCCCTGTTCCATCTCGGTTGGATTTCATGCGACACACGCTACGTAGGGAAAGTTCCTCTGGAAAGTGTTCAGAAACTCCCAAGGGTCCAAAAGGCTTCAGCTAGATTGCTGACTAGGGCTGGTTAAAGGAAACATATAATACCCTTGTCGCAACAGCTCCACAGGATGCCGATCCCTTTCCGAACACAATTCAAAGGGCTGGTTTTAACCTACAAAGCCCTAAAAAGCTTGTGTCCGAGCGATCGAAACATCCGAGCCCAGGCCTATGATCCTGCCCAGGCCTTAAAATCAGCCCAGGAGGTCTTCCTCTGAGTCCCACTGTACTCACAAGCATGCTTGGTGGGCGACACGGGAGAGGGCCTTTTCTGCAGCTGCTCCTAGACTCACGAACTTCCTCCCACTGGAGGCCAGACTGGCCCAATCCTTGCTATCCTTCTGCAAACAGGTGATGACCCTTCTCTTCAGAAGGGCTTTTCATTAGTGACTGGCAGTCTAAGAGCGTTTTTTTTCCAGATGGGATTGTTGTGTTCTGTTGCTTTTCAACGTGTTTTAGTATTGATTTTATTTACCGTTTTGATACTTGTTTATTCATTTTAAAAAAATATTTGTCTATTTACTCTTTTTCGCTTTTAAATATTGTCCTTTTAATGTTATAAGCCACCTCGGCCCTTTTAAGGAGAAAGGTGGGGTAAAAATATTTTAAATAAGTAATAAATAAATCTTACCTGAGAGACTGAGGCCAATATATGGCTACCATGACTAGCGCCTAGTGAATGGCCTTATCCTTCAGAAGCAAAATATGGATTCAAAGTAAGATTTCTGATTCTTATTTGGAGAGCTATTGCTAACCACACTTTGCCCATTTATGAGGCTGGGAATAACTTGGGAAAGCTACATATTCCGAAATGTAAAGTATCTCGTGGCATCACAGACTGCAATGGATCTCAATTAAACTCTCCCATCTGGAATGGTCCCTCCAACTTAGTCCTGCCTACATCCTAAATACACGGCACAGACTTTTGTGCCTCTTCCAAAGAACGGCACAATCCCTAACGTATAATCCAAAATCCAGGTTGGGTCCTTCAAAAACACTCTTCTTCCCCTCTGAAAGACGGTCACTGTCCAATTTTATCTGCATAAATTACAGTGGGGTCTCGACTTACGAACTTAATCCGTATTGGAAGGTGGTTTGCAGGTCGAACAGTTCGTAGGTCGAATCTGCATTTCCCATAGGAATGCATTGAAAACCATTTACTGTATTCTATAAACTTTTCCTCCTAGGGAATGTTGTTTATTGATTGTTTTGCTCACAACAGGGACAATAAATAAATAAAAAAATTAAAATGTGGGAATGAAATGAAGAGGATCAGCACTAAAAATATAGACGAGCGAGAACAGTGAAATGCGCCACACCTTCCACAGATGTGGCCCTTCAACTCCTCTAAGATTTGTGCCATGTCAAATCCTCTTCCTTCCAATCGGTCTGATTGGGAGAAGCCCTAAAAAGCCCCAGGGCTGAAAGGTCAGACGTCTGACCCTCGTTTCAGAGTTTTCACTGCTTTAAGAATCACGTCACAAACAGCCACACAGGACACAGTCCTTCCAAGGCAGTCCCTGACCTCCAGCTGGAGTTTCAAGTTGTTGGCAGTATTTCCCCTGCCGTCCCCGAGCTCAGCCATCCAAATCCAGAGAAGGGACAGGCCGTGGCATTCCAAGAAGGACTTCAGGCAGGCCTGGGAATGAGTATTCTGTACAAAAAAAGGACAGAGAAGAAGAAGAAGAAATGATGATCCTGTTATTTCTCCATCCATGATTTGAATCAGTTGCATCAGTGCTATGAGTAGCCCTATTCTGGGTCGTTGGCAGCAACGTAAAGAAAATGGGAGCGGTTGTAACGTTAAATATTGTCATCATGCAGCCATTGCAGAAATGAAATGAAATAAATAAATAAATAAAAAGGAGAGGTTACAGGATTTTTTTTAAAAAAGGAGGAACGGTCCACTAAAAGAAGAAACACATCCTTGGTTTGAAAAAAGCTGGGTGCAGGGTGGATTTGATTTAAATCGAAATGACTGAAATTGTGATCTAAACCGTGATCTAAATTAAAAAATCATTCTTTTTTTTAAATTTTGAATTAAATCAATTTAATTTTTAGGAAAATCACTGATTTTTATCTACCCTGGGCACGTGTTGTGAAATGGGGGATTAATATTGCGAACTCCCGGGATCCTCTGTGAGGAAGATGCAATATGGACAGAATTGTCTTGGCCCGTTTATCTTTAGTGCTATGAAACTCTTCGGCCAACACGATTCCCAAGAGGATCCGAGAGTACAGGAAAGGCCAAGCAGAGAAACCCTGGAAAATGCGAAAGAGTTGTGACCTTGCTTTGATAAGCCTACGGCAATAACTTTTAACGAAATTTCAGCTGAAACTTCGTAACACAAGCCTAAATCAAATTTAAGCCTTAACTAGAACACACCCGCTGAATGAATCAAACTTGTTGGGTCAACAAACAGGTAAGCACCATTCTTCCAAAAAATCTACTCTAGTGGGAAGAACGACTGGATGTTGCCCGCAGTGAGCATGTTTCTGGCTTAATGTTGAGGGGAAATCACAAGGAGAGGACCATGTATGGTGGGCGGCATTACAAATGGAACAGCTCATAAGTCTGCAGAGCACACATCCTTCAGTACGGCTGTGCCGGAGGGAAGAAAGATTACTGGCTGCACAAAACTAGCACACAAAGACACAGCGGTTGTTTCCTTTTTGTTAAGAGGAAAAAGCCAGCATTTATTGAGATCGGTTTTCACCGCTAAGCAGCAGAATTGGCTGGTCCCCTGAAAGGCAGAGAGCAGAAATAAAGAGAAATCTGGTACACTCAAAGAGAAAACAACTAATTTCAGATGATACACTAGATTAAGAAATGAACACTCTACCTGTATGGCTTCCACATAAAAGGTAATATTCTCTGCATTTAATGGAATAAGGTTCTGTCCAAGAAAGCTTTTCCCACAATAATGCCCTGTTTATTTCATTCCACGCTATTTATTTACTTATTTAGTTACATTTATATCCCACGTTTCCACTGGAAAACAGCACTCAAAGGTGCTTAAGGACAGAAACATTTAATCAGGCAAAGAGCACACACCCTGAGAGTCTTCGCGGCCCCATCCTAAAGACCAATTTCATTCGGCATAAGCTTTTTTGACGATGGCACAGCACTTCTCCAATTGCATCTAAATAAATGGGTTCTATTCTAGAAAGGCTTATATAGAAGGTGCCCCAAGATTCCATAATCAAAGCTGTCGAGCTACTCCGTCATCTGAACTGCCTATGATCATTGCAAAAAAGTGGTAAGCTACAGCTTATATAATTTTAATGCAACAACCAAGAAAATGTATCCCGAACTATTTTTTTTAATGAAAAACCCAAAGGCACAAAATTGTCTCTTGCCAGCCCAATACAGTCCATTTTGGCCAGCAGCTGCTTTTCAAGGTCTTGGGTAGGCATCTTTCCCAGTCACTTATGACACGTATATTTTAATAAATGCCAAGGGCCAAACCTGCAATCTCCTGCAAGGTCACCACTAGACTAGGACATTAACACCCCCGCCCCCCCGGACACACACAAGGAAGTAACCTGGGCCCTTTGCATCTCAGATTTCCCCTTTCAGATCTCCAAGAACCTGCTGTGCACAAACCACCGCTCTCTGAAGAACAATGGCTTCGTGTATCAGTTGCACAATCCCACTTTGAGTGCAATGCACGTTACCGACCAGATAGGCGGGATATAAATAACATAAATAAATAAATAATAAATAAAATACCGAAGCCAGCAATTTGACTCACAGGGTATAAACGAGTTTTAAGCCCCACCAGTTCATGTCTCAAGACAACAGTTTAAAACATTTCCCATTTTCCTCTCTCCGACCCTCTTGGCTACACAATTAAAACAAGGTATTTTATTCATTTTTAAATTTCACAAACCTCTCTCTGCCAGCCACTCCAAAAAGAAGGATCACCTCACCTGTATGAGTTTGAGACACGTGAGTTTTTGCTCCAGGGTCTCGATGCGCACCATCAGCCGGGACAAACTGAGAACTTGATTCTTATCTGAAAGCCCTTCCCCATTCTCCAGGAGCGCCTCTAACTCTCCATCCACCTATCATAAGCAAAAAAGAAATTTGCACAAAATACAGGTGGACCAGTTCCGCACCCTTCTCCTTGAGGGCCAAGGCTGGCAGAAGAAATTAAGACTGGCCTCTGTCCTGATATTTTTCCACTCAAAGGGCAGAGACCGAATCACACTGGATTCTCATGTACACGAGGGCACATGCAACCACCAGACAAAAACATCCAAAGCAGGAAATAAGCTTATTTTTTTAAAAAAATACTGTGGTGCCTCGCAAGACGGGCGCCCTGTTTAACAACGAAACTGCATTACGACGATCTTTTTGCGATCGCAATTGCAATCGCAAAACAATGCTCTGAATGGGGTTTTTTCGCTTTCTGATGATTGGTTCCCTGCTTCAGGAACCGATTCTCACAAAATGACGATTTTAAAACAGCTAATTGGTGGTTTCAAAATGGCCGCCGGGTAAACAAAATGCCCTTCCGCTGTTTTCTGAGACGGATTCCTCGCTGCACGGGCAGAGAAAATGGCCGCGCTATGGAGGATCTTCACTGGACAGTGAGTTTCAAGCCCATAGGAACGCATTAAACAGGTTTTAATGCATTTCTATGGGCTTTTTAATTTCGCTTTACGATGTTTTCATTCTACAGCAATTTCGCTGGAATAAATTAACATCGTAATGCGAGGCATCACTGTATATGGAACCTTTAAAATTTGCCTAACTGGAATTCTCCCTATGATTTGGCAACAACTAATAGACAGAGGAATATAGAAGTACCAATATTGTATTTCTTGAAACAAAAGAGCAAGTCCACAATAAAAAGAAAAATCCAACACACTTTATCTTAAAAACCACAGTTAGTTCCCTATCTTGTAAATGAGACCCAGATAACCTCTTGAGAATTAAACCAGTTATACCAACAAAGCAATGTCTTCATTTCAAATCACTCCAAAGCTTGGGCAGTACCAATTCATGAGGCTACATATACATTACTGATCACCACATCCAAACCATCAGAGTTTGCTTCTCTTACAAATTCTGACTGGTGAAACACTGCTGGTAGTGGGCGAGGGTCAGATGCTGGACACTGGCTGAGATAGACAGCCTTTCAGGGCTTCTCTTCTGCAGCCTGATCATGTCAACAAAGGCTGCTTATATACTTCCCACTACAACAGCGGCTGGAAATTTAATTGCTCTGGTTGAAGGGTTTTGCTTTCACATCACATCGGTTACAGTTGGGTCTTGACTTAAGAACGGCTCGAGTTAAGAACATTTTGACTTGAGAACCGCCTTCCAATACGGATTAAGTTCTCAAGTCAAGACCCCACTGTACACGGTGGGTATGACCCTGTCGTCAGCTTATAGGCTGAAATCCATGGATAAATCACTTTAATAAGGAGATCTTAGTTGATGACCAACAGCTAGAAGGATCTAATGCAGGATCCTTTTGTGCAGGATATTCCGGCCTCTGCACAGGTAGAACTGTTAAGCATGCTTTTTGGGAGGGGGCAGTGGCGGTCCAAAGGCTTTGAATGAGATTTACAGATATGTAGGTGTGAGCATCTCCTTGACTACATTTGAGCATCACCAGAGGTCCCTCAACAACAACTTCCAGAAATCCTGGAAAGCACAGCTAGTGGTGAGGGCTTCTGGGAGCTGTAGTCCAAGAGCATTTGGGGACTCCTGGTTGGCAACGACTGAAATGCTGCCCTTTTAAAAGGTTCTAAATTGAGGAACGTGACCCAAAGTGCTTCCTTCCGCACATCTCACCGTTCCACCAGTACACACGAAAATCCCTAGCATACTCAGCACAAAATCCAAGAGTAGCCTTTCCCGGTCCATCTAAACTTACCGAATCTTTTTTGCGGGACCGCTCCTTTCTGGTCCTGCCTCCTGCTGCTCTAATGCTCACACGGTTCTCTCCCCCGAGATAACCCCGACAGTTGGCAGAGCCACAGAAACACTTTTGCGCTTCTTTGCTGTTTGAGAAATACAAACAGAACCACAAGACAGACAAGAATGGTCAGGCGCACTTTTTTCCTTGCTATCAACCAGATTTCATTTTGATTCCCCCAATCCCACGTTCAAAATGCTAAATAAATAAATAAATCAACAACAACAATAATAAAAACCCAAAATTGCCTGATCCTACGTAGAATCATTTTGTGGTCACTTACATACACCCACTTTAAAACAAGGAAGAAAACAGGTAATATCATCATCACTTACCCATATCTCTGGAACTGGTAGTCAAAGGTGAGTTCTGAGCCTGATGGCACCAACTTGGTAGTGAAGAAGCCAACCCTCAGCTGTCCATTCACCGTCCACTAGAGAGAAAAGGATCAAAATCATAGTTCATTCACAAGATGGATTTTTTAAAAAAACTACAGCATGCTACTTTAAAATGTGTATGCATCCTAGAAAATGGGACACATCTCTGGAGGAGGAGAAGGCACTTCCTCACCTTTTTCTAGGATACAAAACCACAAGTCAATCAGACACTTGCCTCCCATTGACCCTCGTTTTAAGTGCTCTCCATGGAAATCACGGCATTCCCCTTATACTGGACCCATGGGTGTCAACACACTTTGCTCACCGTTAGTGCATGATGTACAAGAAAAAGCACTAGTACTGGGGGCTTAAAGCTAGTGTTGTATTCTTATTTTCCTTGTCACTTCAAATGAAATGACAGAATATCATAAAATTCAAAACACGTAATTCTTTGCTTGCCCTTCCTGGCCGACTCAAGTTCCTTTGACAAAACACAGGATAGAACAGACAGCTTCTTTTTAGGCCTCCACAAGTTTTCCCCATCAAATCCTTTTTCTGCTCATACTCAACTCCTCTATTCGGCTTCACCCGCCCCAATGCCTATCCTGCTTATTCCAACGATTAAGTCTTTGAGAACCTTTGCACTGAGAATCTTAACCCTCCTCTCTTCCTGCTCCTCTCACCTCCAAGATCTTTCAAGAGGCTTTCCCTAGCCAAACTAAGCATTCACATTCTTCACAAAAACGATGTAAACATCCTAAGGTAGGCAATGGCTTCCCCTCAGCAATTGGACTGTTTCATGAAAATACAGTGGTGCCTCGCATTATGAATGCTCCATTTTACAACGAAATCGCTTTCCGTTGAAGGTTTTGCAATCGCAAAAGCGATCGCAAAATGATGTTTCCTATGGGGGAATTTCGCTTTGTGATGATCGGTTCCCTGCTTCGGGAACCGATTCTCACAAAGCGATGATTTTTGGCCAGCTGATCGGCTGTTTCAAAATGGCCGCCGGGTAAAAAACATGGCTCCCCGCTGTTTTCTGGGACGGATTCCTTGCTGCACAGGCAGTGAAAATGGCCGCGCTATGGAGGATCTTCGCTGGACGGTGAGTTTCAAGCCCCCAGGAACGATTTTGCTGTGTTAATGTGTTTCTATGGACTTTCTAATTTAGCATTACGACATTTTCGTTCTACAGCGATTTTGCTGGAACGAATTAACATCGTAATGCGAGGCACCACTGTGCAGTAACTTCACTGCAGTTCAGTGAACAGCACAGGCAATAAATGCATGCCACAACTACAAAAAATAGGTATCCTCTTGAAGTTGATTCAAAAGCAACAATGACCGACGAGCTCTAGAAATTAACTGTCATGCCAAAGCTGCAAAACTGTTTCTTAATTTTTTTATGAATTCTGAAATACAGGGATATGACAACAGACTTAAATTTTACAAACTGACTGTACTTAATCACATTTAAAAAAACCAGATCACATCCAACCTTCACTTGACTGCTTAAGCTTCGGAACCATGGGGGCAACACAGTTTAAGTCTTTCAGCCATTATAAAGGGTGCTGTTGGAAGTATTTATGCTGAGACTTTGTGAGGAAGGCATAATGTCTTGAATTTTCTTACTTCATGCACCAGCTGAAGAGACTGGTTGGTGCATAGGCAAAAAGCCCTTTAAAAGGCATACGTTCATAGTCCAGGCCATCAAGAGACACAAATAACTACACAAAGAGAGTCATAAAATGTAAAGCAACCCTTGTTTAAATCTGCAACTCACCTTCTGGGTTTCGCAGTTTGGTTCACAGCTGTGGTTCATGAAACGGGAGCAATTTCCTTTCTGGGTGGCATCGATTATCTAAAGGGGAAATTAAAATATTGGCACCTACTGAAAAATTAGTTTTAGATAACAATTCAAAATGTATCAGGTGTTCCACTGGAATTCTACCTGCTTACAAATGCTATGCCAAAATATTTACATAAACACCCACACTCACTTATGAAACAATGTTCAGCTTAAATCATATTAGGTTTAAAATTACAAGCAACTCTGGAGAAGTCACGGGGGCTTCTTGACATGGGATGCCATAACACAGGAAACATTTTGGGGGCAGGCGTACCACACCACACAAAACTGATGTGAATGAGAGGTACACGGGGGAGGAAGGGAATTACTGGCTGAAATCCTGTCACTGAGCATAGCCAAGTCACCTTAGAGGAGGCCCACTCAATCAGAGGGGTTTGGGCGAGTCAGTCCCTCCACGTTCCTTGATTCAAACTACCTATTCTAGTTGAGACTTGCTTCCGGTTGTGTGGTAAGTCACCACTAGTTGTTGTGTAGTTGTTAAGTAGTGTCCGCCTCTTCGTGACCCCATGGACCAGAGTACGCCAGGCCCTCCTGTCTTCCACTGCCTCCCGGAGTTGGGTCAGATTCATGTTGGTCGCTTCAATGATACTGTCCAACCATCTTGTCCTCTGTCATCCCCTTCTCCTCTTGTCTTCACTCTTTCCAAACATCAGGGTCTTTTCCAGGGAGTCTTCTCTCTTCATGAGATGGCCAAAGTATTGGAGCCTCAGCTTCAGGACCTGTCCTTCCAGTGAGCACTCAGGGTTGCTTTCTTTCAAAAGACACAACTAGAGTAGGCTCATTTGAAACTGTCGGAATGATAGGGTGACTTACTATGCTCAGCCACAGGATCTGACTTTGTGGTATTTGACTTTGGCACAAAAAATAAAGTCCGCTTCGTCCTCTAGCGATCCACATGACTTTATTTTTTATGTTTCATCCGTTCACATCAGATGTAATGTAGGTGACTGTCAAGCCTGCTCTATCAAAAGCTCAGAACTCACCTCGTCGTTTTTCAACGCCATGAAGTAATAATGGATGTTTTTGCTCCGGGCGTACTCCTTCACTCGGGCTTTGAACTCTTTGTGATCCAGGACTTCCCCACAGTATTCCAATACAAAGGTGTTACTAGGGAGGTCCAATGAAAGAAAAAGCAGATGAAGACATGGCAGAAGCCCAGGTTTGACTCACAAGGCCTTAAATGGCCCAGGTCTGGAAAAACAGGTTCTGCCATCCAAAGCCAGCCCTTGAACTCTTGGCGATTTATGGAAAGGGCCTGCTCAGGGTTCCAGCTTATTAGCTGTGCTAATAGGTTGGTCTTTATTAAGACGGGGTCTCCTCAGGAGTCACGCCCACCCAAGCCCACAGGGGGAGCTCCCTTCAACCCTGTCACCAGCTCATGCCCATAAGCTAGCTAAAACCTTATAAAAACTAGTTTCAAGGACACTAAAACGAACAGTCCTTGAAACTATTAGGCTTCTTAATAATAATCCTTGAAGCTATTAAGACAAAGCCTAACTGTGGCTCTTAATTTACTGCAGTGGTTGTATATTGTTTATGACTTTAGAAATTACATTTCAAAAATGTCAAACACCATCCCCCCTAATTAAATTCTACTAGCTTTCAGTTCTCCTTATAAGTTGCTTCCTCTTGCCGCAAAAAAGGGGTGTATAGGTGAGGTGGAAGGGTACAAGACTTCTTCTGAAAATTCAAAAGGCTCACCTTCTGCACAGCAAATGTGAACAGACCAATGTTTTCAACTCGTGGGCACCTATAACGATCCTGACCCACACATCGCATAGAGCCAGGCCAATGGAAGGGCAGAGAAGCCATTTCCTTGTACGGCGCCTGTACCCACCCAAGAGCAAAACCTCCCTGGATGAGGGCAAAGCCTCTAAATGAAACCCCCTCCCAGAAACGAAGCCTTACGAAGGAAGGTCCTTAGCAGCTCTCAGCCCCCAGCCTTTCTTCTCGGTCAAGATGACTTCAACATCTGCATGCTGCTTCCTCTGAAACCGCCGGTTGGAGCAGGACTCTCCATTTGGGCACCTTGACGAACTAAGCAGGAAGGAGAGCAACACAATGATTCAGGCACGAGGAACCACGGGCCAAGGAATGGCCCTACTTAAAACAATGGAACCAAAAACATATTTCATAAAAAAAAAAACCCCAAACCCAACCATGTTCAGATAGTCATTTGAAGACCGAGTTTTGGAAAATATGCGCCATGATTGAGGGGGAACGTAACCAGCACGCTAGGATCTCTGGGTCTGAACCGCCAGAATACTTTTGCAAGACCCAAAAGGAAAAAAAACAAAATATGGCATCATCATTCATATCCCACTTTTCCTTGTATAGGCTAGTTTTGAGCAGAACATAAAACAATTATCAAAGCTTAGTACGGTCCAAAGCATCAACACATAAAACGTAGTTAGCAGCCCAGTAACCATAAACCTCACAACCTTTCTGAATGAGTAACACATAATAATGCACCATCAAGTTGATTCCAATTTAAGATGATCCTTTTTTTCCAGGGCTTTTTAAGGTACACTCAGGAGGGGGTTGACCCTTCCCTTCTTCTGGGGGGTTGCCGGTGATCCTTTTTTTCCAGGGTTTTTTAAGGTATACTCAGGAGGGGTTGACCCTTCCCTTCTTCTGGGGGTTTGCCGTGGGACTGTGCAGCTGGCCCAAGGCCACCCAGGCTGGCTCTTCTCCCAAGAGGCCCAGTGGGGGGAATCAAACTCCGAATCTCTGGCTCTGCAGCCAGGCATCCAACTCACTGAGCCATCCAGGTCTAACATTCCTTTAAATCCCCAAAAGAAGAGCGTAGCCTCATACCTCTGTTAAGGGGCAGGTTCTCTTAGTCACCCTCACCGGCACGTCACGTGTGCCTCTGTTTCCAACGACCAGCAAAAGTATTTCATTCCACAGCGAACGCTTGGTTCTCTGCGCCTCATCGATCGGGACGCAGGCAGGCAGGAAATAGAGCAAAATCACCCTTACCATTCTATCATGAGAAGGCGGTTCAGACAATCTTCTCCACACGCAACCTCTCCTTGAGCAGTCACCCTCACCGGCATGTCACGTGTGCCTCTGTTTCCAACGACCAGCAAAAGTATTTCATTCCACAGCGAACGCTTGGTTCTCTGCGCCTCATCGATCGGGACGCAGGCAGGCAGGAAATAGAGCAAAATCACCCTTACCATTCTATCATGAGAAGGCGGTTCAGACAATCTTCTCCACACGCAACCTCTCCTTGAGCTCTCTCGTCCTTGGAAAGCGTGGGGCACTCGCACAGCATCCGCTTGATATCACGGTGCGATTTGTTCTTTTTCCTAAAGAAAAACCCACAGAACAGAATTTACCATCCACCGCTTCCTACCAGCTAAAAAGAACCCCAAACCGGGTTCAAAAGAAAAACAAGCAGACAGAGTGGACGTTTCAAGGCTGATTTAGGGAACCACGGTAAGCCTTAAGAGAGGCAAAATGTTTTGAGAACTTCAGTGTGTTTTCCACATACTCAGCTCAAAAGCTTTGGTGTGCTGTTATTTCTGGCCACTCCAAAAGGATACGTATAATTTATTATTATAAATTTAGAATGCTAGATATTGAATTAAATATTTGAAATAGGGATACGAAACATAATAATGCGTAGATATATACGGATATAGTATGATTCAATATGGGAGTAGGGCATAAGAGCTATTCTAGTCAGAATCATATACAGTAATGGGTAAGTTTGAATGGGAAATACCTTCCAGCATATATGTTTTGTTTGTTTCATATGTTTTTGATTGTCTTATATGTTTTTTGTTCTTAATTTAAAAAAAGTATACATATCGCTATTTCAGGTGAAAGAATTATATATATGGAACAAGAATTATATCTCTTTTCTCACACCTTAAACATTTAAAAACATTTCTTATAGATGTCTATAAAGGTTTAGACAGATGGTATTTCTCTTCAGTGTGGAAGGGACGGGTCACTCTCAAATCGGCCGTCTCAGCCACACTAGAGCACGTTACCATCGTTTCTCGAGACTGAATGATGCTTAATTTTAAAAAAAGGTTTAAAAACAAAAAGAGGAAATTCAAAGCTTTTGTAATTGAAACCTTTGGTTCTTAGAGATCCTTAATGTCTGCAGACAGATATACCGAAACCTTAACTCCTGGTGAACTAAGTATGTTTAAGCCCAGCACTTGTTTTTAGTGATTTTCATACCAAGTATGAAAACCTAAAAACAAGTACTGGGCTTAAAAGGGTCAACACTTATTTACTCACTCACGCACGCATTTCTTTGACTTTTATCCTGCCCATCTGGCTTCCAAGGCCACTCTGGTAGGTTCACAATATTTAAAAGTGGCTCTTCCTTTTCATCTCCTCTAAAACCACAAGCCACAGACACACACTAGCATGAATCACAACATCTCTCCTGCCCCCCACGCAAAATCTGTCCCCCCCCCCATCTTTTACACCCTATCTAAGCCACACTACCGTACAGGTCATTTCTAAACAATAACTGGAGGCTGTTACCTTTCCGTCAGATACACATTTTCTTCAATGAGGTCAAAGTAACAAGGCATCCTCCCTTGCTTGGCATACTCTTTCCAACGCTGTGGATCTCGGAAGTCTTCCATGAAACACAATGGGCGAGCCGCTGAGGCCTCCGGAGGTACCACCAGTAACTGTTCACCTTCTGTCTTCACCTTCTTCCTTTCCTGGGAGTCCCCTTCGCTCTCCGAGTCACTCTCAATATCTGTCCTTCGTTTCTTCAGCGGCCCTCGATCCTTCATGTCATTTTTATCCAAAGCCTTAGGAACCTGCTCCCTCCTCTCGCCACTGGCAGCCGTCAACTCTTTCGCCGAGTTGCTGCTTATTTCGTGGGCCTGCACTGAACCTTTCTCTCTAGGGTCACGCGACTGGTACTGGACCGACTGACTGGGGAAGTAGGGATGGCTTTCGTCCACCCAGTGGTCAACTTCTTCATACTCCTCCTGATCTTCTGTGAGCGAATCAGGGACCTGCCCTTGCATTCGCTCATAATGCACCTCAGAGGGCCTGTTAGTCAACCGGGGGTCCCAATAGCCATTGTTATGCCAGTAGTTCTGAGAGGCAACGTAGGCTCCAGCCCCTGGCGGATAAAGATAACCCGGAAACATGCCGTAGCTACTATCGGGCTGCTGGTAAGTGCTGCTTGGCTTCTCTGGTTGGGAGAAATCCCACTCGAGTCTAGCCAAGTCTTCTGCCGAATGAACGCCGTCGTCTCTGGAGAAGTCACCCATGCCAGGAATGTCCCCAAACCCGGTCTTTCCCTGCCTACTGTCCGGCTTGGAAAGACCGGTCTGAAGTCTGGACACATGGTCAGCCATTTCAAAGTTCCTGGAAAGGTAGTGCAGCTCATCCTGTTGCAACGCGTTCACTGACCGGGCGACAGCCATGGTTTCGTTTAATACTGCTCTTTGATCGGGATTTGGCTGCGGGATAGAACCGGACGCTTGCTCCGAGTGACTTGTACTATCCACACCGTCGCTTTGAGGCTGGGAGGCGGCATCAGGCAGAAGGCCTTCAGGCTCGGCTCGGCTGAACTCGGCAGATACGGCCGGGTGTCTCACTGCCTCCCGAGAAGGCAGGCAGCTCCTTTCATTTTGTACAGCACCATTCGATTCCAAGTCATCTGTTACTTCTTCACAGAAGGGTTTGCTGGATTCTGGCTTCCCATCTTCCCAGTGATCCAAATAGCGTCGGTTACTCTGGCTGTTCCGTGAGGAAGAGGAACTGCTCTCTTCCATGGTTATGGTAGAATTCTTTGGAATGACCACAACCGACTGAAGGCGGTTCCTTGGAACACTGCTATCGTCTGAATCCGAGTCCTCGGTGTCACTATCGTCGCTATCCTGTTCGCTCGCACTTTCTGCCATGTCAGAATCATCTTCGTTGCGAACAGGGGAGAGTTCAGGGGTGCTGCTGCCTCCGTCACACCTGGGCTCATCAGGAATAGTGCCCGTTTCTTCTACAGTCACAACAATGTCACAAGAAGGAGACAGAGCGTCTGAAAAGGCAGATCCTGCCAAGCAACCATCCCTTCTTTCCTTCACCACCGAGACGTCAGGAGAGTGGTCTTCCAAGTCAGATATGATTCTTCCGTCAAGGACAACAGAAACCTCCTCCTCGCTGGGTTCCTCTTTTTCTGGACCCTCTTCTGGCATCTCCAAATAATAAGAATGCTCGTTTTTAAAAGGCGATTTTGTTTTTTCTACAACAGAATCCTCCTGCAAAATATCTACTTCAAGGGCTACTTCAGAACACACTAAGAGTTCTTCTTTCTTCTCCTGCAAGGAAGCGTCCGGCGGAGACACGCTTTCACAAGTCTGTTGCTGCTGTGAAGAGCAGTGATTGTCTAATGTGGACTCCACAAAATGTTCTTCTCCAGATAAATCTCTGACCGGATCATGGTCTGATATGCTTAACTCTTTACTACATTTTTCACTGTCGTGAGCAGCTTTGGGTGAATTTTGATTCTCTACAACGGCAGGCTTGAACGTTTCAAAACGAGGCTCAACGTGAACATCCATAGAAGGTTCCTGAACATCTTTTGTATCTGAAGGCTCAGCTTCTATTTCAACTTCTGAATAACACAAAGAAAGAGTAGCATCATCGGGAAGATAGCAAGGGACTGGATCTTTGGTTTTATTAGAGACATCTGTCGGATCATCCCCTTTCTTTGTTAATATTTTAGACGGATTTACATTCATTATACAGAGGGGCACACAGTCATATTCACAAGGAATGGGGACATCTCTTTTTTCTTTAAGCAAATGGTTGGATTCACTAGGAAGAACTGGGGAATCACTCACATCCTGTCCTTTATACAGCTGTACACTTTGAAACCCGTTAGATGGCACTTTGTTCAAATCAGGACTTCTGATCTGCAGTGGTGACTCAGATCTATCTAAACTATCACATTTATCTAAACTATCGTCAGAAGACACTGTGACCTCCATTTGGGTCAACGCTGTACCAATGGGGGTATCTTCAAGGGATCCATTTCTGTTCAGTTCTGTTGGAGAGCAAGTTCGTAACTGATGACCGAGCTTCACCTGGACCGAACATTCCACTGCCGTAATACTGTCATGGCTATCAGTTCCTGAAAGTCCAGTGGACTTAGAAATGGGCGAGCTTTCTTTCAATTCATCTAGCTTTTTGAAATTAGGGGAATCACTTAGCAGAAACACAGTCCTGTCTGTTTCTGGCTTATGTGCAACAGCAGTTTTTGTTTCACAGCTTTGTACACAGGAAGCCTCTGAGTCTATACAATTGGACTGCTCTTTGCGTTCCTCAGATTCTGTACAGGAGAAAGAACTTTTAAATTTATCTGACTTAGGAGGAAAGGCTTTTGAAGAGCTGGACTTGTGCCGTGACGAATTTACACTGCTGTCCGCTTTAGAATGGGAAGCTTCTCTCCGACGTTGTAACTCACTAACTGGAGAACATCTTTTTGATGTTTCACTTTCTGAAGTCTTTTTTGAGCCTCTGTCTGACTTCGAAAGCTTCCCTTTTCTCTCTGAGTCGACATGAGAAGACTCGGTCTTGCCATCCCGCTCAGACCTTGAATAAAATGAAGATGACCTGGAGTCTCTGTAAGATGAGGAATGAGAAGTACGCCGAGAGTCTGTAGACCTTGAGTGTGTCCTCCGATATTCTTCTTCTGAATCAGAACTCTCTCTTGTCAGTCTGTCCATGTAAGAACGAGAATATCGAGTCTTTTCTCGGTACGGTGAGCTTCTGTGATACCTCCGGTCAGACTCATAGTAATGGGACCGATCGGATCTGGAATAGGAAGAACTGGTTCTGGAACCTCTCTCTGATCTAGAACGAGAATGAGATCTGCTTCGCCTCCTCTCTCTGTCAGACCTGGAACGAGAAGAAGAATATCTGGAGTCCCTCTCCGACCTTGTGTAACTGGAGTATTTGTCATCCCTGTCAGATCGAGACCGTGAGGAAGATTTCGCCGGCTCTTCAGTTTTGAGAGACGCTGAACTCTTCCGTGAGTCTTTTTCCTTTTCCTTCTCTGAGCTTGTGGACATTTTAATTTCGTGGGATCTCTGGCTTGAAGAAGTCCTCACAGAATCTTCATCCGACTCGGAACCTGGTTGTGTCCCATCAGAAAGAGAGAACTTCCTGTGGGATCCCTGTTTCTTGGAACTGACAGCAGCCCCTTTTGAGCCATCGGAAACGTCCTCCTCCTTCTCAAGACGGGGATGTCCTTTTGCCGGGACCGGTTCCACCTCCTCAGAAACAACGTCCGTCAGCTGTTCTTCCGAGGAGTCTGCCGCACTGTTCTGTTTCGCGTCCAGTTCTGAAGCTTCCTGCAGCACTTTCGCCACGGAGACCACGGCTTCCGCAGGTGAGAGCAACCCAAGAGGGGTGGCCGCTAGGGATGGAACTGCAACGGGTGGGGTTAGGGCCAACGCTGGTGCCGACAGGACGGGCGGAGGAGGAGGAAGAGGAGGGGGAGGTGGTGGTGGGGGCGATGGGGGCAATTCTACAAGTTCTGTCGTAGTAGCTGGTGCTACAGCCACCAGGGGTGGTGGTGGCGGCGGTGGTGGCGGTGGTGGTGGTGGAGGAGGGAGCAGTACCACCGCAACTGGGGGAGGCTTTGTTGTAACATTTAGCAGATGCTTCTTGAAATGGATCTTGCCTAATTCCACCTTAGGCTTCGGTGGCGAAAATTCCTCCACGGGAGCAGTGGCGTCCCCAAGATCCATTTTCGTTTTAGAGGGAAAGTCAGTTGGGAGAGGCAGGGCGGGGGGATTCGAAGTCTCGTTTAATTTATCATTCCCAAGGCCGGTCAGAAATCGGTTCGGCAGAGTTTTCTTGGTGAGACTGAAGCTGAAGGAAACCTTCTGCCTGCCTTGCTCCTCCAGGTTAACTTTTGTCCGGGTGCCTTTGGGCAAGAAACGGCTTGAAGCCACCCCCTTGAAGACGGGCCCTTTGACAAAGCCTGGTTTCTGTACATTTTCAGTCTTGCCCTGCAACAGAAAACACAAACGGGTGAAAGCAGGGAGGACCAGCTTTTGTTTCGCTTTCTTTTTAACATGTAATTACAGAAGCGTCTAGAGGTCAGGTCAAATACATCAAAAGTGCCAGTAAAGATCTTGTATCAGCAGTATGAGTAGATCTTCTGAGTACATCTAATCTGGAAGCCTTTATTTAATAATATAACAACAATAATTTTAGAACAGCAGAGCTGGAAGGGACCCCATGGATCATTGAGTCCAGCTCCTTTCAAGTTGGCACACAGGGGGAATCGAACTCCTAACCTCTGGCTCCAAAGTCAAGACCTTAAGCCGTTGAGCTATCCAGCAGTTCTCAGTATCTGGGAGCATCACCTGAGAAACCCAGGACACTTGTATCTGAGAGCATCACCTGAGAAACCCAGGACACTTGCTCTCAAGAGGCTTCCACGTGGCCTGACTGATACTGGCGGATGGGTGATACGTGGCTTGGATCCTATTCCAGGAGGGAATTCTGATACAATCAACAGAAATTCTGGGCTAAGGGATACAGTACAGGCCAACCTGTGAACACCATGTTAATTCTCAATTCTGTGTGAACATCACCTTAGTTCTCTAAAAGATAAGACTCTGCAAAGGCTTCATCTCCCTGCAGTCTCCCAAAGCAATGTGAAATTAAACCAAAGCTCAGCTATATCCTATAACTACCTCCTAAGAACAGAGGGAGAAAGAGAAGTAGATGAGATTTACACCCACCTCATTTTCTTCTTCTCTGTTGTGATCCAGGAAGAAAGCATGCAAAGAAAAAAGATAAAGAGAAACTATGAAAACTAAGTGGAAACACAAGCTTATTACTTTCCAGGTAAAACCCTTAGCCTGTGCTGAACAGGCACGTGGCTAGAGAGAAAGTCTCCCTGTCATAAACTGGACTACTCGCAAGGTGAGAACATCCCTGTGGGGTCTTAAAAGCATCCTTTTTCAAAACCCTTTTTCCATTAAGAATGCATTGGCCCTGCATTCCAGCATCTAACGTCTAGCAAAGTAGGGAGATGACTTAAGCTGATCTTTTCCAGAAATATATAAAAACACGCCAGGATCCCAGTAGCACAGAACTTCTTGTCTCCTCAAGCTATGACTTGCTCACAGACCTTAAGTCAACAGGATTGCAGAACAGTATATGCTAGCCACCTCCGAGGAGGAAAAGGTACTTTATTTTGGAGAGAATTCATTTTCCAAAATTTTGCACGATTCGCATAGGGTAAACCTTGTTAAAGCAAATTCGTTTGTGGTTTCCAGTAGTCCCCCCCCCCTATCAGTCCCCTTCACCACAAGTCCAACACATCCAGAAGGATTCAGCTTCTACTTTTACCAATCAATCAAACAGGAACAAGCCGGCTTTCAAACATCAAGTCACGAAAACCTAAGGGCACCCAGGATTTCGTTTTGATTTTGTCACACTCATTCCAACGCTTTTTCCTAACATCAAGAAGAGGGTGGACATGTTCTTTAATCATTTCTTTCAGCCTCCCTCCACACTGATAGCTAAGTCCTTTAACTAGGAGTATTTAAAGATCACAGCCCCTGTAGAAGAACCCACACAGGTTTGGCAAAAAAGAGCAAAGTCTGATTGTGGCAAATACTGATCTCTTCTATTTCATCATGTGCATAGAAACATTTCTGCTGCTTTTAAGTGTATAGATGGGTAATAAATCTTTGCTTAATATATACAGTATATATATTGAAATTCTTCACATTTGTTTGTGCTTTATAAAATGTTTGAGTTTCTTGCTTTGATCTCAGCCACACCTTATGTCATTAATTAACGGATACAACAGCTGAAATCTAGCAGTATGCCACAATCAAGAGTAGGTCTTCATCCATCTATGGAACTTACGAGAGTTGAGGGCCAAATCAGATTTGGCAAGGTCTACTCTAGTTGTGACTTACTACTGGATTTCAGCCACTGTTTGAAAGGTAAGAATAAAACTTAAAAGTTGATCAGTGAACTCACTTGGAGGGGGCGCAACACTAGGAAGCATTTTCCAAAGAGAAATCGTTCAATCAGTATGTTGACAAAATTAAAGGAGGAAAAAGCCAGAAACTGTCAACACGACACTGCAGGAGTGACCCTGTTGACAGCATTTTCAGAGCAACGTGACTAGATTCCAGTTACAGGCATTAGGATCTAGTCTCATCTGCTAACTGTTCAGTGAGGGCCCTATTCTCATCTGGCAAATGCAACGGTCAATTGGCCAGTGAGGTGGCTAGTAAAATCAAAGGGTCAAAGCAACCCTTGTTTAGCACTGCAAAGTACTGTCAAAAGGCAACTTCTGCAAATATTCCCCTCGTTCAAAGGAAACACAAATTTACATTCGTAAAAAAATATCAGGAACCAAATGGTTTTGGTGAAGGAGCCAGCGTATGCCTTCAGACAGCTCCAGCACCAAAGGCAATCAAGAGAACTGGTTCTATGCAGTTCTTTAAAATATGCCTATCCTAATAAAGGAAGCTACTTTCTATTGTACTTTTAACGCTTTTGCTTACTTGGGAAAAAAATTCTTTTATTTCCCTCTCGGTTTTAGTATCCTAACTTTGCAAACATTCCCTCTAATTTTCCGCCCAAGCCAGTCAGGGGTACCACCAAGTATTCATGGGATGACGGCTGCAACCAGAACCAAATGGGCAACGACACTGGCTTGCAGGTGAATGGCACCGATGCAGTGCTGCACAGCCGCACACCTGCACAGCTTAGAGGGAACGCTCATGTGTGCAACACCTTCTGTTTTACTCCATGGATGCTTCAATTTTTAAAAGCACCCAAACATGACATGCACTTTCGTAAGTACAAAAAATAGTTCAAAAACCTGTTTTTAACAGACTACAGAACTAGAATCAAAAATAAAACATCACCTCTATTATTCTGCAAAAGGGGACTATATTGCAATACGCAATCCCCCCCCCTTTTTTGTAATTTTTATATTCCCCTTTATGATGAACCACAAGGTGGTGGTGTTCTGGAAGACGGCATCATGTGTTCTCAGCATCAAAATACATCTTGGGCGGAATCTTGGAGAGCATCTCAAGCAACACTGAATAGGTCTTCCAGCAGGATGATGTCTACGCAAGGAGCAGCCATCATGGACTTCTAATGAAGACAGCAGAGGAGTATCTCAAGGAAACCTGTTGTGTCATGCCAATCGTTAAAAACCTCATTTGCACCAAAAGTCAGCAACATCCCTATTTCCCTCTGGGTTTTAGTATCATAACTTTGCAAACATTCCCTCTAATTTTCCTCCCAAGCCAGTCAGTGGTCCCACCCAGTAGTCAAGGGCAGGAGGGGTTTTCTACTGTGTGAAAACCTCTACACTTCCTTTAACATCCTTTTTAACTCAGTGAAGGGTGTAAAGATGACAGTATACTGTAGTAGGAACAATTACTGAATCTCTACTGGGGTGAGATAATATTCCTTTCCACAATATGAAGACATCCCAAGAGCTGTTCAGCACCATAAATCAGAGATGACTACATTTTTCAAGCAATAAAGTCCCACCGTAATTAAAATTCTGCTTTTATGCTGCACTGTTCTCACTCAGTTGCTTCAAGATGTATCTATTAATTGGTGACGAGGAGCTTAAAAAACCCCACACTAAAATGACTTCTACATTTTGTGATGTTTAGATAATTACTTGCTAATGTGCAAAGAGATAAAATTATTGCTAGTTCTGGGGATTGAGCGGCAGGCTAATTCACTCCAAGCAATTATGAAACTGGTAATGGAGTCCCAGAGAATCCCCTTCAGTTTCTGAGCTCAGAACTCTTCTGCAGAGGAAGACGGGGTGCAATTAAACAGCAGGCACCTTAACATTCATACAAACGGCTCATGTGCACAATTTTTAAAAATTTCCTATCAATTCATTCAAAATAGCATAACAGAACAATTTCTACTGTAATACAACAACAGTAAATTTCTCATTCATAAACTCTTATGATTTCATGCTTACTCGGTCTCTTTATCTTTACCATGTAAAGATTAAGCCCTGGCGAGCATTACATACAAATATCCGGATCGTGTTTTGGGGTGAGTCAGGGAATGATCAGGCAAAAAGCCTGGTTTTAAGTGGGCCTGCAAATCATGCTTTTGGTTGACCAAGGATTCTGATTAGATTGGTAGTGGTCTTAAATACACTTAGTATAGATTGCCTTGCTCAGAGACTTGTCTCTTGTCATCATTCTGGAAGCCTGAGTCAATTTGAAAACCCAAACCTCAAAGAAAAGAAAAAAGAAAAACACCCCATGCAGATTCAGCTGGACAGTGAAATTTCCAGATTGCTACCAATTTTACCTGAGAAGGTAGACTGTATCCTCAAAGCCTTATCCTGCACTACATACATCTTAAAAGCGATGTGAGATGCATTACGTTTCTGCAACAGACTAACATGGCTGCATGTCTGTCATATTTCTTCTATCCAATACTAAGGAACAGCGGGGATTAAGAGAGGCATAAAGAATTTGTGCTAACCATAAACAGCACTAGTGCCTCTGTTTTTTCAGAAGGTCCGCTGCACCCGGAGTATGAAACGTGCTGACAAAATGGAACAAACATCCATACTTTGGCATGGTGAGGTTCCTTTTTTTTTTTTTTTTTTGACAGCCTGTATGGCAATAAAATTGTGTGACATCAAACCATGCCATACTGGCTGAAATAAAAACTAAATTCTGAAGTCGTCATTTTTAAAGTCACTAAAACCCATGTGACTCACTCACTCATTTTGGTTCAGTCTCTGCCATGCTGTCAACACTGTTATGTGTCACTGAGTCAGAACTGCCTTATAATGACCCAAAAATAGGGCTTTCAAGGTAAGCGAGACATTTAAGGAGTGGCTTTACCAGCTCCACTCCACAATGGGTTTTGATGGCCAAGCGGGGATTTTGAACCCACGTTGCTTGAATCCTGTCAACATTATGAGGAGCAACGTAGATCTTAATGAGAAAGACCTGGGGGGGAAATAAAGCTGCGTATTTTCAGCATGCCCTATTTCCTATACAGTATGTGGATTCCTGACAGTATCCGATCAGCTACTGCTGGAAAGAGGATGACAGACAGTCCACCCCCATCAAGGCAATTCTGATGGCTTTCCAAGCACCATCTCCTTCTAAGTGGTCAAAAACACACCATCAACTGCTCAGGGCAACATCTGTCTCCCTTCATGAAAAAATTAGCTTAGATAGGAAAAGTTTTTTTTCCTACTACAAGGCAGGTGGGGAAAAGAGGGAGATGAGAGCATAGGAGGGAAATTAAAGTTGGTTAACACGGCCACGTGAAGCTACTCTTAGCATCTCCAGGTTCGCTTTGAGTGTATGCATGCTAGCAAGGCTTCTTCCTGCTACTTTTCATTGATCTGAGAATGGTTGGTAGAAAAAATATCAGCCTATGGCCACCAGAATAAGGAAATACTTTAGAAAAAACAGCAGATCTGCGCTCAAACCAGCCACACAAGGAACTTCAATAATGTTTCTACCTATAAATCAGAAAGAGAACTTCCTGGTGATAAGCAGCAGCCTCTACTGAAATCTAAACTCTTCCTTTCCCCTTTCTAATAGTATTGGCACAAGCTTTTCACTGATACAGTCACTCTGCCAACCTTCAGTCATCTCTGCCATACAGTCCTGAGAAGCAATACTCGGGCTGTATGCAAAGATAAACATTACATTCAACTCCTGATTTCAAACAAAAGAACAAGTGTAACTATTGACAAATACCAGACACCCCTT